CATCAAATGTAGCTTTCCTTTTTACATATCTTTCCTGACTTTTTTATTCTTACACCCTTTTATCATGGCACTATGGAAATTTCACATACTTGTCAAATATGGCTCGCTATTCAATGCATTCCCCTTCAGACAGCTAAATGGTCCATTCCCATGAATCTGTGCAATGTAAACTATTACGGGAGACTTTCTTGCTGAACACACATTTTGTGTGTGCTGACTGGTCTAAAGTATGGCAGCCTTCCTAAACCAGCAGACTCTATTTGCTTCTCAACCGCTCTTTAAACAGACGACAGAGCAGAGAAGCAAGTATCTTTTGTCTGGGTTCATGTTACTAAGCCTAGTTTATTTCATGATGTGTGCACTGCACCCCAGACTGTCAAAGATTCATTCTTAGAGCGCCCCGCCATACTCTGGAGATCCTTGCAGGTCAGACTTCCTAGAAAGGTAGGACAACAAACTCTAATTTTCTGGGTTCAATTAAGTGCAATTACTGTGTGTAGTCTGTAAAAAAAAAAAACATTAGCAGGTTTCCACAAATACCCTTCCAAAAATTCTAGTAAAGGAGTCGCTTTATAAAATCTTTGTCAATGTTCATTTATAAATTGTAACATTCTGAGAAATAGCATAATTTTCCTTCCAAGCATTTAGTAATGAAAACCTCCACTTCAGGAATTGTTGTTGAAAATAGGACAGCAGTAATTAAAGCATAATTAAAATCTCTCTTTTTTTTCATATATCTACTGCTTGCTAGCAGTAGATATATGTAAAAACATAAATAAAAAAAGTTACTAAAAAGAGTTTTACTTACCTCTGTCTATGCTGCTCGCTCCCGTCTGAATATCTGAAGATTTTTGAGCGGCCGGGCAGCATGATTGGGCGGGTACATGCGCAGTAGAGATCTTTGGCCGGAGGAAGAGGAGAGACCCAGTGTAAGTCAATGCACGCAGCCTGGCAGCAAGCACGCGGACAAACTCCGTGAGGCACAGAATACACAGCAGTCAGCGCTTGAGGGACTCCTGAAAACTACTGGAAAGAAAATGATCAGATCAAGAGGCATCATTTAGGGTAAGTCCTTAAAGCAGCACTGGGGGGGGGGATATTTGTGACTCTAATGTCACTTTAAGTGTAATGTGGAGACCTGCACTGTAGAAGCTGCCCAAAAAAGGCAAGAGAAGGGCAAATGACTAGTCACCAGTATTGCCGATAGGTTCACTACAGCTGATCTTTTCCCCGTTACTAACTTATCATGTTTCGCTTTGCACTATCCCTGTGTAAAGGCCACCTTGGTAGAAAAGCAATACTTTGCTTCCTCGTGTCAGAGCTGCCTCCCGAACGCTCGTGATCTGATGACTTGTGGAGTATTGGTCAAAAAGAGCAGGAGAGGTGTATTAAGAATAAAGAAGAAGCAGGGAAATGCATGCACTGCAGGTCCTCAGGTACAGCATTCTTTCCAGCAAGCCCTCTGGAGAACAGTGAGCAGCATAGTATTGACATCACCAAATCCACTCCAAATCTTGTTTAGACTAGCAGTCAGGGGCAGCAGTGCATTAGAGGATCTCACACTGCAGATATACATCATTTAGGCTACAGAGCTTGAAATATCTAGACAAAGTCACTTCATATTGGTTAGCCACAGTTAACAGTTCTAGGTGTCCCCTATAAGATAGCAAATCTTCACTTTTTGAGTCCAGGTCCACTTTAATTACCTCCATTTTAGTGGAAGCTCTTTATGGAAGTGCAGCAGTACCATTGAGTCACTACTTTCCGCCTTTGTTATTATTATAATTGAATTTGTTGCCGCAATAAAAGTCTATGGGGCCACTATTGCAGTCATTAATTCAGGTAAATAATAACAGGGACTTGAAGTAGTGAGCTAATAGTAACCTCTCATGCACGTACTGGCCACTGTTAAAACCACCACACACCTCTCCTGCACATACTGGCCATTGTTAGAACTTACACAATCCTCTCCTGCACATACTGGCCATTGTTATAACCTCCACATTCCTCTCCTGCACATACTGGCCATTGTTATAACCTCCACATTCCTCTCCTGCACATACTGGCCATTGTTATAACCTCCACATTCCTCTCCTGCACATACTGCCCTCTGTCATACCAGTCTTCACCTGTACATACTGCCAGCTGCCATACCACTCCTTACCTGCACATACTGCCTATATCTGCACATACTGCCCACTCAGGGCCGGTGCTAGGATTTTTGCCTAGACAGGCAAAGTTGCATTTTTGCGCATGTAAGACCTGCAGGACTCTTGCTGTAGACTTGCCAAGCAAATTCACTACAAATTCAAAAAGTGTCAACTAGAACTTGTGCTGCAAGTATTCTGCAAGTCTACAACTTGCCTGGGAATGTGTGCAGCAAGTTAGAAAGAATTACAATTTAACCCTGCCACAAGTTTGTGGAAAGTTATCCTTGCTATCTGGGATACTGCCTGCTGTCATACCTCCTCACCTGCACATACTGCCCACTGCCATACCACTCCCCACCTGCACATACCCCACACTGTCATACCACTCCTCACTTCTCTCTTACATACTGCACGCTGTCATACCTCCTCACCTGCACATACTGCCCACTGCCATACCACTCCCCACCTGCACATACCCCACACTGTCATACCACTCCTCACTTCTCTCTTACATACTGCACGCTGTCATACCTCCTCACCTGCACATACTACCCTCTGTTATACCACTCCCCACCTGCACATACTGTCAGCTGCCATACCTTCCTCACCCCTTGCCTGCACATACCCCACACTGTCATACCACTCCTCACTTCTCTCTTACATACTGCACAGTGCACGCTGTCATACCTCCTCACCTGCACATACTACCCACTGTCATACCACTCCCCACCTGCACATACTGTCAGCTGCCATACCCTCCTTACCTCTCTCCTGTACATACCACACTCTGTCATACCACTCCTCACTTCTCTCTCTGGTACATAGTGCACGCTGTCATACCTCCTCACCTGCACATACTACCCTCTGTCATACCACTCCCCACCTGCACATATTGTCAGCTGCCATACCCTCCTCACCTCTGCCCTGTACATACCACACTCTGTCATACCACTCCTCACTTCTCTCTTGTACATACTGCACGCTGTCATACCCCCTTATCTGCACATACTGCCCACTGTTATACCACTCCCCAACTGCACATGCTGCGCTGCTGTCATACCCCTCTCACCTGCACATACTGCCACTGACATAAAAACTCCCCTGCTGTCAGACCACTTCTCACCTTTCTCTTGCACATACTGCATGCTGTCATAGCCTCCTCACCTGCACATACTGCCCACTGTCATACCCTACTCTTCTCTCTCTTCCACATACCGCATGCCATCTCCATTTCTCTTTCAGTAAAGGTTTTATCTAAACTTAAATCAACAGATCACAGCAGTGTGGCAAAATGGAATAGTAGAATATACTCCTTGGCCAAATATTAGGAGAGTTCTCCTTTAAGACAGCTTGAGATACTGCATGTTGCAAAAGGAAAAGTTTTAATGGAGTCTCTTTTCCTCCATCCTTAGTTGACTACTTCAGCTTTGGTAATATTTCAGGAAAATGTGACATAGGAGTATGGAAGAGTTTACACTACAGGCATCCAGCAATCACAGCTGCAAGAAGAATATTTTAGATTCCAGTTCACAGCACTGTTACAGTAATTATTCGGGCTTGGCAAGCAGAAGGAGCTATGTCATCTATGTTTTTCAGGCAAAGGATATAAATCAGTTGTTTAAGGTCATTTTTTATTTAATTACAGTCCGTACATGGACAGCCAGGATAAATGTAAGAGAATTTAATATAAACATTATAGCCCTCAGAAACCATGTCGATGGCATTTGGTCAAGTGTGGGAGTCTATAACTCTCGCTCTGTGTTACAGTGCCACCCAGTGGCCACAATACAGTAAACAAATGATGGCTGAGCCATACTCCCCAGAGCGCAAAGATAGAACAAAAATACAATAATATAGTTATACATTTTGTGTACAGGTAGCTTCATGGAATCATATCTTAACCATTCTGGTGACACAAAGAAGGAACACGTGTTGCAGATAGTTGCAATCAGTTTTTATAAGATGGAAATTAATTAAATTACTTAGAATATTAGGAAATGTGCATGTTCACGGAAATAACTTCAAGCTAAAATATTTCTCCTAATAGAATAACTACTTTTTATGTTAAAATGACGCTGCTGAGATCTGGTTGAGATGGAATTAGCTATTCGATATTGATTGAAATATGCAGCGCCAACATCGATTAACAAATGTGTCAATTTTAGCATAAACTGTGATCAATATGTGAACAATGTGTACATAAATATGAATAAATACCTCCAACCAGCATTTAACCTTTTCAGAGACCCTGTGGGATTGATTGTCCAGGACAACGTTTTTTTATGAAAAGGGAAAAAGAACATTTTAATATTTATTGTGTGTTTTCGATTGTTTTATTCTTTTGGCATATATATTTATTGGAGGTATTTATTCATATTTATGTACACATTGTTCACATATTGATCACAGTTTATGCTAAAATTGACACATTTGTTAATCGATGTTGGCGCTGCATATTTGAATTTCTGTGTGTTGACCTAAGGGTCATTTTTTGCTGCAGCCTCCATATTTTCACGCTAGCACGTACATTTAGAATAATTTATTTTATACCCAGCGCAGAATAATTATACATCTTCAATATTCTATATTGATTCCCTACTAAGCAATTTTTTAGAATAAGCCTCATGTCATTATCTTGGTCTATTGGTTAGGGAATGTTCAATTTTGCAGACAGATGCGGTTGATAACGTAATCCCTTGATGGATTGCAAAATGAGTTCTAAAATTAATTTTTAACATAAGTGTTATCAGTTGGTATTTACACTATTTAGATTGCATTAAAGGTGACACAGTAAAAAACAAAAACAAATCCATAACAGTGTTGTGCTGCAATGTGCTCATTATTACACAGGTTCAGGATCGACTAGACCGTTACTGTTGTGGATTTAAGCCGGGCCCTACAGAGCCTTGTGTAGAAGAGCTGCTACATGACAAGTGTCGCAACCCAAAGGAACTTGTCTTGGTGCACATTCTGGTAGGTACTAGTATTAGTTTCTGGTAATTATTGGTTTTTGCAGGTCTACGGTTAAGCAACAGTTATAATTCTGAAAGCTCTGAGATAAGTCTTTCTTTGAGAATAAGAAATTACCTTGTTTGTTGCGCATATCAAAACATGGTAATTGTGCATACCCATATTTCTGTGAAGATTCCTCTCATATCTTCAAAACATGGTCCCTGTGCATACCCATATTTCCGTGAAGGTTCCTTTCATATCTTCAAAACATGATCCATGTGCATGCCCATATTTCTGTGAAGGTCTCATCTCATATTTTTCTTTAAACATGGTCAGTGCGTATACCCATATTTCTGTGAAGGTTGCTCTCATATCTTCAAAATATGGTCCATATGCATAGCTTTATTTCTATGAAGGTTCCTCTCATATCTTCGAAGCATGGTCCATATGAATATTCATATTTCAGTGAAGGTTCCTCTCATATTTTCAAAACATGGTCCATGTGCATAGCCATATTTCTATTAAGGTTCCTCTCATATTTTCAAAACATGCTCCATTTGCATATACATATTTCTATGAAGGTTCCTCTCATATTTCCAAAACATCGTCCATGTGCATACCCATATTTCTGTGAAGGTTCTTCTCATATCTTCAAAACATGGTCCACGTGCATATCCATATTTCCGTGAAGGTTCCTCTCATATCTTGAAAACATGGTCCATGTGCATATTCATATTTCCGTGAAGGTTCCTCTCATATCTTCAAAACATAGTCCATGTGCATATCCATATTTCCATGAAGGTTCTTCTCATATCTTGAAAACATGGTCCATGTGCATATTCATATTTCAGTGAAGGTTCCTCTCATATCTTCAAAACATGGCCCATGTGCATATCCATATTTCCATGAAGGTTCTTCTCATATCTTCAAAACATGGTCCATGTGCATATTCATATTTCCGTGAAGGTTCCTCTCATATCTTCAAAACATAGTCCATGTGCATATCCATATTTCCATGAAGGTTCTTCTCATATCTTCAAAACATGGTCCATGTGGACATCCATATTTCTGTGACGGTTCCTCTCATCTCTTCAAAACATGATCCATGTGCATGCCCATATTTCTGTGAAGGTCTCATTTCATATTTTTCTTTAAACATGGTCAGTGCGCATACCCATATTTGTGTGAAGGTTGCTCTCGTATCTTCAAAAGATGGTCAGTGTGCATACCCATATTTCTGTGAATATTCCTCTCATATTTTCAAAACATAGTCATTATGCATCCCATATTTATGTGAAGGTTCCTCCTATATGTTCAATCAAAGATGAACCCCATCCTGAATGAAAAATATGCTCTACTCAAACTGTGTTAGTTATAATATTACTTTACACTGCGAAGTGCTAGTCTGTATGAGCACCTAAAGGAAAACCTGTCACGTTTATCCTAATCCATTAAACCATGTAATTACAATAAAATGTAAATTGCAAAGCAGGATAATCTATATCATTTTCTTGGGTCTCATGTCTAAAACATGCCTTCAAGACATAAATCAAATGCAAATATAGAGGAAATTATCTGAATTATTATTTCAGTGTTTATAGTAGTTTCCGAGCTTCTTTGACACTTTCAACTTGCTTCTTTCTTTAACATAAGAGTTAATATCATGGTCAAACATGATGTAGGTTTCCTTCTGCAGCTGTCAGTCAGTCCCTGTTTGGCCGAGAATTTTTAGACCGCCTCCTTACAGGGTCATCCCAAGGTGTGGTGTCGCCCGGAGCGGCCACCGGGTGACACCCAGCCGTGACGCCATTGCACATGCTTGACTTAGGATCATTCTCTGCCATTCAAAGCCTATGGAAAAATCATCACATATTCCAGTATGGTTTTGGTTATAGAATGCAAATTACAGTTTAATCCCCAGAAAAGTACCTGATTTTGTGTATGAAAAATATTCTTCATGTTTCTTTGTTTTTATAGGTCCGCCATAGTGACCCTTCTAATTTAGTTTACATTGACAATGCTGGGAGACCAAACCACCCTGAGGACAATCTTAACTTTAGACTCCTGCAAGGGATAGATAGGTAAGAAAAAATACAAGCAGGCTCTGTGGTGATGGTCAACGGTCTTGTACTGATTAAGGATAAGTAGCCTGATTTAGAAGAAACCGAGTTCACTGCAAAATTACTGAATTTACTTTGGCTAAAGTCACTTCTAATTGACTCCCTTATTTCACTGAAATGTCAGCACATAAACCTCAATTTCATACACTGAAGTTTAATTTCCACAGCCTGCCCTGTCCGAGACCACCACAGGCCAGGCAGTGCTAATTTCTCTAATTGTGCCAATGATGACACACTAAAAAGCTCCACCCTTCATGTGAAGCCACACGGTCTCTGCCAAAGTATTGCAGAAAGTGCAAGATGATGTCGCAGTAGGTGCACAAATGCATAATGCACATCTGGGACAAGTATATGCACTCCATTGCTGCAGGCAGGATGTTACCAGTGGTATTGCAAACCAACTGGGAGCTATATCTAGGCTAAGGATGAGTACAGTGATTTTGGGAAAGCTGAGTTTGCTCCAAAATCCTGCTTCTGCCTTCGGAAACGTTTAGGTGACACTTGTCTCTAATTGACTCCAATGCATTTCGCCAAAATGTCTGCAAAACGAATAACCTGTGCAGATTGAATCTAGGTGTTATGCTGAAGTGCTGAATGTATTCCAGCAGATGGCACGGTTGCACATGTGGACTGATCTTGTTGCATTGGGGAGGTCTTCTCTCACATCCTGTCTAGGCAACCAACAGGCCATTTCTTTGACTTGATTTCATATTACCATTGTCTAAAATGCACTTTCTGAAATCCCTTTGGTACAATCCACATCACTGGCTCCTTAGTGGATTCTCTAAGGAAGAGAGAATGCACGCCAGAGAGGGGAAACTGGACATACAGCCACAAGTTCTCAGTGGTCATCTGGACAGGATGTAAGGTGAAAGGCAGAAAGAGCACTAAAAACCTGATGAAAGTTCTAACCCTTCATAACTCTATCCAAAATAAAAGCAGTTTTGGATTCCGACATACTGTAATACAACAAACATTTAAAATATGACTATAATTTTAGTTAATAATGTTATAAAATGTATTAGGAATAAATTGTCCTCATGCAGAAGCATCCCTCTTCAGAAAAAAAGGAAATATGCTAGGCAAAAATGTGGATGATACCTATATTTCCATGGTGAAGTAGTTTTGTCCAGAACATTGTTCAGTGATTGAAGTTTGTGAACAAGTTTTTACAAAATTACATTTGTGAACAAGTTTTATTTTCATCTCCCATTATAAGAGATAACAGAACTTTGATAGTATTTAACAGTATTTTGATATTTAACACTTTTCATATGCTATATAATGTCTTGGCATTGAGGGCATACAACAGTTCTGTAAAAATGGACATAATTAATCAAATATTTTATTTCCATCACCCCACTATGACTGATACTTCTTTTGCTCTCCATTAGGTATCCTAGATCAGCAGTGCAAGTATTGAAGTCAGGATGTTTACATGACATGCTATTAACATCGCTGCAGATGGATCACGTATTCTGGGAAAGCCAAGGAGGCTTCCAGGGAGTGAAAGCATTGGTGAAAACCATAGTTCAAAGAGGACAGATTCTTGTGGAATACATAGAAACACACAGTTTCCTCCTTACTTCTCATCATTAATATACCTTCAACAGAGTTTATATTTTTCTAAATACTGTGAATTTTTTTTATTGGATTCTCTTCTCATCTGGATGTTGACCCCAGAAACATGTTCACTAAGTACAGTGCTCAGAATGGGATGTTTACTGACTAGTTTACATAGTTGTTATATTTTTTGTGGTTATTAATTGGGCATGTTAAGTGTCCTCTAACCATAGTAAGTGCCCTTTGTTAACTGCCTGGGCAGAATACTAGTTCCAGGGCAGTGTCACATGTTCACAGCATCACAGGTTGTACCTGCATCAGAACTACTATTTGACTTAGGGCTCAGACAATGGCTACTGCCATCAGAGGTTATTTATACCTCTTCAACTAGATAAGAAAATACACAACACAGTTCTTTTAAAACAGAACTCCAGGTAAACATATGTGTGGACCTTTACTTTTAGGAAGTAGTGTTTTGAAGATAATTTAATGCTCCATAAAACTTTGGCCTGTAGGAGGAATAATGACAGGTGACATCCTGTTGCCATTTGTTAGAGTCACACTAAACTCAGGAGTTAAATCTTAAAAATAAATTCAAGTACCCTAACTATTAACAAAAATGTACCTTATTTGTGTATCACTCAGCTGTAGATCCTCAAATCATCTCTGAATTCATTCTGACGCTGTCCTTCCTTCTGGAGGGGGCCTACTTTTGTTCCCCATGGTCCCTGTGTGTGTTATAAAGTAGCCACCGCTCCAAGCTCGTTTCCTTGATGGACTACAATCTCAATACAAATTAGTAAACTAAACATGAGATTGTAGTCCATCACAGGAGCAAGCTTGAAGTGGTGGCTACACACAGGGAACAAAAAAAATCTCCCAGTATAGTAGACTTATTAAAGGATTGCAGCCCTTCCAGTAAATTTATGCAAGGATTATAGCCCTTCCAGTAGACTTATGTAATGATTTACCCCTTCCAGTAGACTTATACAAGTAAATTCAGATATCTTCCCACCTGTTTCTCTAGCAAAATCTTTCCTTTTGTAGTGTATACATGTACAGTTTTAAGGGGGGGGGGGAGGGTCTTCTGGCAAAACAATGTACCATGACATATATGAAAAATAAATGCTGAGACATGCAGAGACATTTTCATGGAGTTGATGTCTGATGTGCAACAAAATTCAGTTGATTTCTATTTCCTTCTCCTCTGCTACTACTGCTCTCTTCTCTTATGCATGATACCAGTCACCCACAATGGCATGACCGCACCCGGGGGACTCAAACAAGTGTCATTGGGTTTTATTGTAACTATGTGGAATGTGTTGAAACCTATTTCATACAACTTATTATGTTGCCTATATGGTTGCAATTATGTGAACAAGGTTTGTTTTACAGTTTCTGTCATTTCCTTAACTGAAGCATACTATTGCTTTCTGAGAAATTAAGTTTTTTGTGAAACCTGTCCAAATTTAACCCTAAATCTATTACACAGAAATGCACTTTAAACTAGTATACGTAAGCTCTTGCTGTATTCTTATAAATAAAGTTTTCCAAGTTTTTCATTATTTTTTTTAAACAGTATTCACGGAATGCCGCTGAGAGTATATATTACTGTTGGAAATCTAAACTTGAAGGCTTTATGTGGTGACACTTAATAAAAGTCTGACAAAGGTGCTTCTGCTGTAGCTTCATTATACTGTACTGTATAGATGAACAAGCAGTTCCCTGGTGGAAGCACATGTTATACACATGTAGATATACACATACTGGAACAAAGGACTCCAAAATGACTCTTAAATTCTATGAGATTAATGTTGGAATATTTGAAACCATTACAGCTGTTATACTGTATGTGCCATTATGATTCTGTAGAAGTGGATATGATGTGGAAATATTAGATGAGGTTTCCCCCATGTGAGAGGTGGTTCCTTCTCTAAGGAAGATAATTTTTTGTACTTTTTCAATGTGGTCAATAAATGTGGTGTTTTAATGCTTACACATTCTGGGTGATCTCTATAATCTTAGTATTGTTTTTTCAGTTCTTCATGTTCTAAGTATATCATTTCCCTTATAATGATATGTATAATGTTCATATAGGCAGCTTAAATATTCGGATTTATTAGGATAAAAGTATACATTTTGGGATACTGTTTTTTTTGAAAATTAATGTTTTTAAAGACTAAATATGAATAATGAATTTTACAGATTACATATAAAGCTACTAAATGCTTCAGGCAGTCAGAGGTTTTGGATATTTTATAGGGAGGCTCAAAGGCTCTGGTTATTGTATATGGATGGCAGTCTGAGGCCCTGGTTATTGTATAGAGGAGGCAGTCAGAGGCTTTGTTTTTTGTATAGGAAAGTCAGTCTGAGGCTCTGGTAATTAATAGGGAGGGCAGTCAGACGCTCTGGTTATTGTACAGGGAGAGCAGAAGTTGGATTGCTCTAGCTATGGTGTAGGGAGGGCAGTTGGAGGCTCTGGTTATTGTATGGGGGGCATTCAGAGGCTCTGGCTATTGTATAGGGAGCGCAGTCGCAGGCTGAGACTCTAGTTATCGTGTAGAGTGGGCAGCCAGAGGCTCTGTTTATTGTAAGATAGGGCAGCCAGAGGCTCTGGTTATTGTATAGGGAGGGCAGTCTGAGACCATAGTTATCGTGTAGAGTGAACAGCCAGAGGCTCTGTTTATTGTAAGATAGGGCAGCCAGAGGCTCTGGTTATTGTATAGGGAGGGCAGTCTGAGACCATAGTTATCGTGTAGAGTGAACAGCCAGAGGCTCTGTTTATTGTAAGATAGGGCAACCAGAGGCTCTATTTATAGTATGGGGGGCTGTTAGAGGATTTGGTTATTGTATAGGGCGGGAAGTCAGAGGCTCTGGTTATTTACAGCAAGGTCAGTCAGAAACTCTAGTTATTGTATAGGGAGGGCAATCAGAGGCTCTGGGTATTTTTTAGGGAGGTAGTCAGAGGTTTTGATTATTGTACAGTGAGGACAGTTAAAGACTCTAGTTATGGTATAGGGAGGGTAGTCGGAGGCTTTGGTTACTGTACATGGAGGGCACTTGAAGGCACTAGTTATGTTATAGGGAGGGCAGTCGGTGGCTCTGGTTATTGTATAGAGTGTGGAACTTATATTAGCTCCCAGTTTTCCAGCCCCCTCTCCCCCCCCTTACAAGGTTCTGCGAAAAATCGCCCTGTTCCCTACTCGACTTGCAGCGCTTCTCCCTTCCCTTCTCTGTTTAACTTACTCTTCGGTCGGACACCCCGGTCCATACGCTTTTGAAGCTGCTCAAACCGTACAAGGAAACTCCACATAGCTCCAATTTAACCCCTCAAGTGTAGCGCTGTATCCTGGCATGCTGTCCTTTTAACTTTCCATATTGTATAGAGTGGGCAATTGGAGGCTCTAGTTATGGTATAGGGAAGGCATTGTACAAGCTACATTGGTAAGCCATGTAACAAACTCACTTTAAAAAAGTGAGTTGTTGTCTACAGTGATTAATTAATGAACACAATTTCTTGACATATCCGCAAAAAAATAAAATAATCACCCAATGAGGTATCTGTAAAATGTGTTAAATGTGTTAAAATGTGTTAAAAAATGCCTGGAAATTCAGCTGCTGGCTGGAAACAAAGATATAAGATATACAATTTTCATATTTAATGGGAATATAATATTTCTTTATTTTTAAATCTAGTCACTATACATTCCCTTTAGATTTTTGCAGAGCAGTTTGTTGTTAGTTGTTTTCAAAACATTTCCCTCAGATTTTCCTGTAAAACCTGTTCAATATCTAATCTAAAAATGTGAAGCATGTACCTAACCAGTCCAGTCGATGACAAAACTTTACCTGATTCTTTGAGAATAAATAGTACATGTAAAGGATCTTTATAAAGGTTTTGTCATTGTAGAGCTTGCAGAGACCTATACTAACATAACATTAAAAATGACAAAAGTGCTTTTGTTCTTTCTTTTCTAAAGGTCACTTGACTGCTCTGACACTGTTCTTCTAAAGTACATTGAAGGCCCAGTGTGGATGGGGCATGTAGAAAATAGGGATGTGCCGATACTAGTATAGCATAGTATACCGTAGTATACTAGTATACCGATACAGGGCATTTTCACAAGTACTAAGGCCGATACCAGCCCTCTACATTTTTAAACAAGAGTGGCTGACTGTGGTCCCGTGCTTCCTGGGGATCTCAGGCAGCCTGCTGGGGACCTCGCTGTATATGCCTTTGAAAGCACCGGTCTCGCCCCACTTATCCTTCCTGACGCTGGCACAGCACTGGACAACCCTGCACCTCTGTCTCTGCATCGCACTCTTTTGAACTTTCCCTGTCCACGCCAGCTCCAGGAAACTTTTTCATCAAGGAAGAAAAGGAAGTGATCTGTCTAATGCACCTGCAGCGATCTGTGCCAGTCTTGCCCCGATATTTTTCCTCAGCACCCAGCTTTGTAACCTGAATGGATGGGAATGGGAGAAGGTCCGCACTCTCCTACCCCGGGGCAGACCGCCGTGGTACACTGGGGCCCCTGCACCTACTGCTTCGGCTGGCCCTCTGGGGAGATACAGGAAAGCCGCCAGCCCTGTGCTCACACAAACCCTCATAGATGCTGCTAATGTCTGTCCCCACTGTGTCCTAGATTTCCGGAACTCATCTCCTGCTCATCAACATTTTACATCCAAAGTACTTCTGGTCCACCATAAATAGCCGGATGGTGGTGAATGGGGATACACATATAGTGTGGGTTTCATAAATATGACCGCAAAAGTGCAAATATACTTTGAAGGTAGAAATACACTTTAGGGTAGGAGTACATGTAGTGATTAGCAAGCGGTCACAAACAATTATTTTGTCTCTTAAAATGAAAATGACGCCAGGATTGTACCAGATTGACTGATAATTAGGGATGTCCTGATACCGATTAAGTTGCAGTTCTTCATAACTATAAAGAAACTATCCTAATATCATTAGCCTGTATTGTTTTAGAAAAAATATCACATGTTCCCTTCAGAAAAAGTATTGGTAATTGGTATGAGCAACTACCTGAGGGACAGTACTTGTACTTGGTCTTGAAAAAATGGTATTGGGACATCCCTAATAGAAAACAATTGTTTTGTCATAAATGTTTGTCTCTGCCTGTCAGTGTTTGTATACACGGAGCCATGCATGCGCAGCTCAGTTCACAGTTTCAGCAAGCTCCTGTAATCATGTGTGGGAGTTACATGATGACGGCCGACCAAGCAAGAGGCCAAAGACACTGAGCCTGGAAGAAGACCCGGACGAGATAGGAGCGCTGGCTAGAGAGGGGAGAACTGACATTGCAGCACTGGAGGGGAGCGCTTTAAAAGAAAAGTCTGCCACAATGCGCTAATACAGGTGAAACTCGAATAATTAGAATATCGTGCAAAAGTAATGGCAGTAAGTGCTGCAAAAGGGGCCCAAACCAAGTACTGAGTACATATGCATGCTTGTACTTTTCAGAGGTCCGATATTGGTCTATGTACAATCCTTGCTTTATTGATAGCATGTAATAATCGACTTTTTTTGAGGTTGTGGATTTGGGGTTCTTGGGGTTTTCATGAGCTGTAAGCCATAATCATCACAATTATGACAAATCACGGCTTGAACTATCTTGCTTTGCATGTAATGAGTCTATCTCATATATTAGTTTCACCTTTTAAGTTGCATTAGTGAAATAAATGAACTTTGCACGATATTCTAATTATTCGAGTTTCACCTGTATGTCATGCATACTAGCACATAATGGCAAACACCTCCTGGAGCCCATATGTCCCTTTGGTGGGGACGGTTTACTACCGCTTTAAGCTGGACATACACAATTAGATTTTCTTCATTCAGACTGTAGACTATAGCGATTAAGTCACTAGCTACTATCGCTGTGATTCACTGGCATTAGTGATATGTAGCAGCATCTAATCGATTCTCCAAAATCACCGGTGTGATATTGCCCATAAGGTCGTATTAGATGGGAGACAACACATCTCCAGTGTCACAATCCCTGAGGAGAGGCTTCTGTTTACCCTATGAAGTGGCTCCCTTGCTGCCCCTAGAATGCTTCAAAATGTCACTCACTAACAAGGTAACAGCGAGGCAGTGATGTCTTGCTGGTGCTTCCAGCGAGTGAGTGACTCCATACCAAAATGTATGTGGTGTGTTAGGCTACATTGACACCAACACTTCTGTGCTTAGTCCACGAAAGAAGTTGTGCTGCACACTGATGATGTGGCTGGAAAAACCGACTATATTCAAGCCATACAACTGCCGCACAGTTATGCATTAGATCTTCCACTCGCTGATGCATTTCACCCTCAAGAGGTTAGGTCTCTATGGCTAAGCCTGTGAGGGTTAAATGCGTTGGCGAGCGGTGGAACTAAGGCAGGACTGTGTGGCACTTGTATGGCCTGAATAAAGTTGTTTTTATCCAGTGACAGCATCAGTGTGTGACCCAGCTTCTTTTCTGGACTTGCAATGGAGTAAAGGCATGCTCCAGTGGTGGGCACACTATGGAAGGTGGAGCAGTGGAGCAATGCATTTAGGTTATTTAAATGCAGGAGAAATAAATGTATGCTTCCCAGATATCTTTCACCTGTATTTAGGCCTCATGCACACGGGTGCCGTACACATACATTTCAGGTGTATTTCCCTGCCCGAGAAGCCTCAAGTGCTGCATACAGCTGCACATAGACAACAATGGCTGTACGCAGCTCTCTGCATACGTTTGTACACATGTGCCAGTTTACAAAAGTACCAGCATATACCTGCCGTATACCATATACCTGTAGTATCCATACTACACCCAAAATGTCTCAGTATAGACTCCCTCTTGCGCCCTAAGTTTCTCAGTATAGGACCATTCTTAAACACCAGATTTCTCAGTGTAGAATCCCTCCTGCACCCCAGATTTCTCAGTATAGACTCCCTCCTACGCCCTGGGTTTTCAGTATAGGACCATTCTTAAACCCCAGATTTCTCAGTGTAGAATCCCTCCTGCACCCCAGATTTCTCAGTATAGACTCCCTCCTACGCCCTGGGTTTTCAGTATAGGACCATTCTTAAACCCCAGATTTCTCAGTGTAGAATCCCTCCTGCACCCCAGATTTCTCAGTATAGACTCCCTCCTACGCCCTGGGTTTTCAGTATAGGACCATTCTTAAACCCCAGATTTCTCAGTGTAGAATCCCTCCTGCACCCTAGATTTCTCAGTATAGACTCCCTCCTACGCACTGAGTTTCTCAGTATAGGACCATTCTTAACCCCCCCCCATTTCTCAGTGTAGAATCCCTCCTGCTCCCTAGATTTCTCAGTATAGACACCCTCCTACGCCCTATGTTTCTCAATATAGGACCATTCTTAAACCCCAAATTTCTCAGTGCAGATTCCCTCCTGCATCAACATGTCTCATTCTATCGCCAATCCGCTCAGCTGTAGGCCTATTAGGCATGTGCGGCCCATTTTGACAGGAAGGGCATTTCCCTGAACAAAGATGGCGGCTGTTTACACTGGAGACGCTGCCTTTGCATGTCACTGATGAGCGCGAAGTCTCAACTTACGGCTACAGCGGCGAGTGGAGCGAAGTTTAGTAAAACCGCGGACGGTTGAGCGTATCGTCTGTGTGAGGCGTGCCGGGAGTGTTCCGGCTACATGGAGGAGGACACGGATGCCCCCCAGGAGAGGGAAACTAAGGTGAGCAAAGTGGGGGATGGCCTTTATGTGCCCGGCGCCTAGGACAGCCTAGCGTGATCACATGCTGGGAGTATTATTCCCTCTTCAGCTGGCAGTAGGACATGCTGGGAGTATTATTCCCTCCACACCTGTCAGTAGGACGTGGTGGGAGTATTATTCCCTCCTCAGCTGTCAGTAGGACGTGGTGGGAGTATTATTCCCTCCACAGCTTTCAGTAGGACGTGGTGGGAGTATTATTCCCTCCACAGCTTTCAGTAGGACGTGGTGGGAGTATTATTCCCTCCACAGCTTTCAGTAGGACATGCTCGGAGTATTATTCCCTCCTCAGCTGGCAGTAGGACATGCTCGGAGTATTATTCCCTTCTCAGCTGGCAGTAGGACATGCTGGGAGTATTATTCCCTCCTCAGCTGGCAGTAGGACGTGGTGGGAGTATTATTCCCTCCTCAGCTGGCAGTAGGACGTGGTGGGAGTATTATTCCCTCCTCAGCTGGCAGTAGGACGTGCTGGGAGTATTATTCCCTCCTCAGCTGGCAGTAGGACGTGCTGGGAGTATTATTCCCTCCTCAGCTGGCAGTAGGACGTGCTGGGAGTATTATTCCCTCTTCAGCTGGCAGTAGGACGTGCTGGGAGTTTTATTCCCTCCTCAGCTGTCAGTAGGACGTGGTGGGAGTATTATTCCCTCCGCAGCTGTCAGTAGGACGTGGTGGGAGTATTATTCCCTCCGCAGCTGTCAGTAGGACGTGGTGGGAGTTTTATTCCCTCCTCAGCTGTCAGTAGGACGTGGTGGGAGTATTATTCCCAGTGTACTTGGGGAAAAAAAGGACACAATGGGAGTATTATTTGCTCCTCAGCAGTCAGTAGAACATGTTGGGAGTAATATCTAATAAAAAAAATGTAAAATAGATCCCTCCATTCACTATAAACAGTGTAAATGGGAGGAATCTCCTGCTGTGGCTTTTGTATTCTGACAGTCAGTCACAGTGGCCGTCAAAATACCAGACCAGTATCTGCATCTGACTGGATACAGGTGTCACTCGGCTGATCGCTTTCCACCTGGCTCCTTTGATTTTGCAATGGAAGGACATTGGGTAGAATTTGGCAGACAGGCCACCTACTGAGCGAATTTCATCCGGTTCATCAAGAATTGGCCAAAAGGTGCTTTGTGTATTGGCAGCTGTAGTCATTTCATTTGCCAAACCAAACCATGCCACCAGAGCCATTGAAAACTCTATGGCTGTTTTTCATCAAATCTGTGCTTGTATGATGGGAATTGGGCGGGCCGGCACCAAGTGCTGTCTAGTAGAAGGGGGCCACGTTCTCCCTGTACACAAAAGGTTGGCTGTTTGACTGAAAATCTTCCTCCTGGCTCCTTCAACAAGCCTTGATTCAGGAATCGGCTTTTGTTGAGCTGGCAGGGACGCCCACTGGAAGAATCTCATCCAATTCCTGGGAATCAACCAAATGGTTAGCAGCGTGTGGCCAGCCTTAAGCCTGTTCATAGGTAAATATTGCCAGAACATTCAGTAATGCTATCAGAGACTTGACGTATATCGGTCAAAATGTCATTTTATTGCAACATCGATTTTGGAATGAATAGAGTTTCTCAACCCGAAAACCACATTCACTGTTCCTTTTGATCTTCTTTTATTCTTGTCATCATAGTCAAAAACAACAATGGTCGAATTGACCCCATTGGCTATTAGGAAGTCAAACAAACGTTTTGAAAATGAAGAGAATGTAACCGTGTACACTGTATTGCCAAAGGTATTGGGACACCCCTCCAAATCATTGGATTCAGGTGTTCCAATCACCTCCATGGCTCCAGGTGTATGAAATCAAGCACCTAGGCATGCGGACGCTTCTACAAACATTTGTGAAAGAATGGGATGCTCTCAGGAGCTCAGTGAATTCAAGTGTGGTACCGTGATAGGTTGCCACCTGTGCAATAAGTTCATCCGTGAAATTTCCCTGCTAATAAATATTCCTCGGTCACATGTTAGTGGTATTATAATAAAGTGGAAGCAACTAGGAACAACAGCAACTCGGCCACGAGTGGTAGGCCACATAACATGACAGAGCAGGGTCAGCGCATGCAGAAGTCCCCAACTGTCTGCAGAGTCAATAGCTACAGACCTCCAAACTTCGTGTGGCCTTCAGATTGGCACAACAACAGTGCGTAGAGAGCTTCATGGAATGGGTTTCCATGGCCGAGCAGCTGCATCCAAGCCTTACATCATCAAGTGCAATGCAAAGCGTTGGATGCAGTGGTGTGAAGCACGCCGCCACTGAACTCTAGAGAAGTGGAGACGTGTTCTCTGGAGTGATGAATCACGCTTCTCTGTCTGGCAATACGATGGATGTGTCTGGGTTTGGCTGTTGCCAGGAGAACGGTACTTGCCTGACTGCATTGTGCCAAGTATAAAGTTTGGTGGAGGGGGGATTATGGTGTTGGTTGTTTTTCAGGGGTTGGACTTGGCCCCTTAGTTCCAGTGAAGGGAACTCTTAAGGCCTCAGCATACCAAGACATTTTGGACAATTTCATGCTCCCAACTTTGTGGGAACAGTTTGGGGATGGCCCCTTCCTGTTCCAACATGACTGCGCACCAGTGCACAAAGCAAGGTCCATAAAGACATGGATGAGCGAGTTTGGGGCGGAGGAACTTGCCTGGCCTGCACAGAGTCCTGGCCTTCACCCGATAGAACACCTTTGGGATGAATTAGAGCGGAGACTGCGAGCCCGGCCTTCTCATCCAACATCAGTACCTGACCTCACAAATGTGCTTCTGTAAGAATGGTCAAACATTCCTGTGGACACCTTCCCAGAAGAGTTGAAGCTGTTACAGCTGCAAAGGGTGGGCCAACTTAATATTGAACCCTACTGGCTAAGACTGGGATGCCATTTAAATTCATGTGCATGTAAAGGCCGGTGTCCCAATACTTTTGGCAATATAGTGTATACCCAGCTTTACTAAATGCACAGAGGCTGGTGCACGTTGCCCAACACGGTGGTGTGAACGGAGCTGGTCTCTGACACGGCCTTGTCTTGTGTTGGGGCTGCACTGGCCGTTGTTTCCAGTGCAGCCCCAACACAAGACAAGGCTGTGTCAGAGACCAGCTCCGTTCACACAGGGCATATGGTGTGAATCGGCCCTGAGTCTCTACTGAAGGGGATTGATTGAGTGATATTCAGGCAACGCCAGCCAATCATCATGTCTGGCTCAATACGGAACTTACTATTTGGCACAACCATGCTGGTTAAGTGACTGGGTTGCTGTGGAATCCCAGAGCACCTTTTTCAGGAGTGAAGTGTCACAAATTGAGTAGCTGTTATTATCATAGGGCAGCTAGAGGAGTAAAGTCGGTTTGGTGGTAGAGTTAGACCGGACGACTTTTTATTTTTATTTTTTATCATAAAAGGTCAAGCACTGCGTATCTGGCCACTTACATCCAATCAGATCTGCTCTAAACACAAACATTTTGCTCATTTACCAGGATTTCCAGTTCAGACAGCTGAAAAAGGTACGGATCTTCCAACCTACGCAAGAACTTCCCAAAGATCGCTCCAGTCTCTTGGCCTTATCCAACAAGTATGGCTTCTTGTTTGTCGCTACCGCTCCTGGTCTGAAGATTTTCTCCACCAAAGATGTTCTTATCCCAGTAAAACCTGGAGAGGACACAAACAGCATTGGTACGTTCAGGTATTTCAGTAACGTCAGATGTGTGCTTCATGACTAATGGAAATATGGAAAGGGAGATTCACCCTCTCTTTGTCCTGGTGACTCTTATCACAGAAAGTGAAAGAAAATCCCACATTTTGAGTTGTCATCAGAACAGAAATAGATGGGAAATCTTCTAATGGGGACACTACTTCTGGTGACTCTGCCATCCACTGGAGATTTCCCTGTCTTTGGAGGCATTTCTTCTCACTTCCTGTTGTGGTCATCGATGGGAAGTTAAGGGAAATCTCCCTTGTGGGACAGAGATGGCAAAAAAGAAAGCTGACTGGTTAAAAACCTCCCTTACTCTACCCAAAACAAAAAAAGTTTTGGCTGCAGTTCTACTTTAAATTAAACTGTAGATCCCCAATGCAAGTAGATTGGAAAATAATTAACAATTATCTCATGCTTATGGACATTTCAAAACAATGTTTTTCTTATTTTAGAGATAGATTACACTTGACCCATTACTTGCATTAGAGTTAATAACCTTATCTCCGATCCCTTCCCTTCCTGGAGTTTGCCTTAAAGGAGAACTATGAGATGAGTGATTTTCACTCAGCCTCATAATCTGAGCCGACCTGTGACAATGAGACTGTCACAGGTCGGCTCAGTAGATTGGGAAGTGAGTGAACACATACCGTCGCTCGCTCACTTCTCGATCTATCCGTGCAGAGAGCCGTGACTGTCACTCAGTCACTGACTGTCGGACGGGGAGGGGGCGGGTACAGCTGGCTCTGCCTCCAGATAGGCAGAGCCAGCTGTCACTCACGCAATTGGGTGGATCCAGACAGAATTGTCGGGATCTGTTCCGGCTGCGGCGTCTCAGTATACCGCGAGCTGTAGCTTGCGGTATACTGAGCTTGGGTGATGGGAGGACGCTAGTTTGTGTCCTCCCGTTACCCTTAGGAGAAATATGCCCTAACCCCATAGTTCTCCTTTAAGAAAGTTGGCTAGTATAACGTGATCCAAGTGGTATAACTGTTTTGGATGAATTGTCTTTCGTTATAAAATTTCTAAACTGGTAATAAATACTTGCAGCTTTTTCCCAAAGAGCACTTTGAACTCCCTTATTTTTGGATATGAGGTTTTAGCTGAGAAGGTCAAAGCACAGCTCTCTCATTGCTGCTTTCCAAGCCGCTGTGTTTATCAATCAGTGTGATGGATACCCTTGCTGATGAACAGAGTCTAGGGAGGTGGGAGTGGGTTCACTGAGCATTGATTTTCTCAGCTGTAGTTAAAATTGTCAGACATGAATACCACCGGTTTCAGAGCTGGAGTGCTTGAAGCTGGAGGTATGTGCAGAAACCGTATTTCTGTCACCAGGATAGTCTTTATACCAGTGACAGGTTTCTCTGTTGTGTCTAACTTAACAGACTGAATTTTATGCATTTTTTTTTGTGCAGGTGCCACTCCACCTGGGATTGAAGTGCCAACGAAATATCCAGTGCATCATGTGGCCTTGAGTTCTGACAACCTCACTCTGTCTGTCTGCATGTCCTCCAATGACCATGGCTGTATAATCTCTTTCTATGATATTCGCACACTATTGAACAAGGTATCTGGATCAGATCTCCATTATCTTTTTTAAATAATTAGGATTCATATAAGGAAGATTGTTTGTAGCCTAAAGCCCATTTCCATCTTTGCGGCGGTACTTTAAAAAAAACATATGCCAACAATATACATAGTTACATGAAGCAGGCATATGCAACTGCTGTATATGAACAAAGAAACGTAAGTTTTTGTTAGCTTTCCTCTTCATCGCCTCATGGAAATGGGGACTTTGTGCTTTGCAAGCATTATGTGTAAGTTACAACTGAGCTCTCTCTGTGAGCTCTCCACCCCCCCCATTCATTAGTATTCATAATGGCAACCCTGGACAGTGTATTGTGTGCAAAGGGAGAGCTGATGTTTAGTGATCGTGTTACACAGACATTTTTGAATTTCTAGGATTCAGGCCTAATAATAAGTATGTGAATAAATGAAGAAAGCCAAAAATGTGCACACCTATACATCATCACTGCACCTACATCGCCACAATATATGCTAATCACAAAGGTGGAAATGGACTTTAAAGCATATCTAAACCCATACAGAAAATGTAACATTGCAGTCCTTTGATGTATTGACCTGTTAGGTTAGTGTTCATTTTTTCAGTCTGTTATCCCTTTGTTTTTACCTGGCAACCCTGCAAATAACACACTTCCTGTCTTAGGGTGACAACAATTTCTCACTCCATTGTATGTATGGGTGGTGCCATGGTTGTCACTGAGGACATTTTTGGCTCACATTTTTGTTGAATTGTTCGAAATGCGAGCCATGTATGGCCTTCATTTGTCTAGTGTAAAAAATGCTCTGTTAAAATAAAGAATACTGAACCTCTGGTAGAATAAAAGCCTTGATAAATTCAGTTGAGTAGCACAGTTAAATCTATATCAGTGTTTACATCAAGCCGACATAAACTATATGTGTATTACTGAATTCTTTCTTCTAGGCGAGGCAGCCTAAACACCCCTTTGTATCTCAAATACTTCTGCGAGATGCTGGAAGCTTCGTTGTAGACCTTAAATGGAACCCAGTAGCTTCCAATGTGGCTGTCTGTCTAAGTGATGGCAGCATCTCCGTCCTACAGGTCACAGATACAGTAAGCATGTACGCCAACCTGCCTCCGGCAACTGGGGTCACTTCAGGTAGGTGTCTTTTCTGGTACGATGAAAGCAAACCGGATTGTATCTAAACATTTTACTATACAATTTACAATATATGTACTCTCTGCATCCGAAGTTTTTACATGTTTACAATAAATAAAGATCCTACCTCTGATACTGTTTGGGGAATATATGGAAACATTTAAATGGTTCCTCTGAAAAATACACAGGGGAATTCATCAAATCTGGAACAGGCAAAAATCTGGAGCTGTGCATGGAAATCAGTCAGCTCCCATCTTTCATTTTCAAAGCTTAAAGTGACATTAAACTCAGGAGTTAAATCTTAAAAATGCATTCAGGTACCTGAACTATTAACAAAATGTATCTTATTTGTGTATCACTCAGCTGTAGAACTGTAGAATTAGTGCTGGCACTGTCGTTCCTTCTGGAGTGTGGCTACTTTTGTTCCCCATGGTCTCTGTGTGTGTTGTAAAGTAGCCACCGATCCAAGCTCACTCCTGTGATGGACTACAATCTCATGTTTAGTTTACTAATTTGTATTGAAGTTATAGTCCATCACGGGCGCGAGCTTGGAGCGGTGGCTACTTTAAAACACGCGGACCATGGGGAACAAAAGTAGCCACACTCCAGAAGGAACGACAGTGCCAGCACTAATTCTACAGTTCTACAGCTGAGTGATACACAAACAAGATAATGTTTTAACATGTATAAATAAGAGACTGTTTTATTCAGACATTAATTTGTACATTTTTTGGCACCTCTAAATCCCCATTCTTTGGTGTTAAGTATTATGATTTTGTAGGGGTGCGGTGCCGCACACATTTCTCACCCTTCGTTGCATGCTTGAATTTTTGTAGTCATCAGGTGCCTGTAACTACAGCATAAGAAAAATATGAAAGTTGAAATCTTGCTTTTTCTGATTTGCACTTGTTTTACATATGGAACCTGATTTTCTAAACCTGGTATTTTGTTTATAGTATGTTGGAGCCCCAAAGGGAAGCAGCTGGCTGTCGGAAAACAGAATGGCACAGTTGTCCAGTACCTCCCAGTAAGTCAGTCCCCATAGGAGTTTGCTTTGAGATTTTACACTATTTGCTCACGTTCTAAACTGGTAATCCCTGTACACTCAAGGCAACTTGACCCTCCAGCTGTGGTGAAACTACAAATCCCATAATGCCTTTGCCTCTGGGAGTCATGCTTGTGGCTGTTAGGGTCTTGCACTGCCTCATGGGATTTGTACTTCCACAAAAGCTGCGGTGCTGAGGTTGCCTACCTGCTTTAGGCTAAAGAGGGAAACTCTGTGCAGTGTAGCTGAACTTTGGTAAACCCAGTACAATATAGGCTAAAATATACACTACAGGTTGAATGTAATCCAGAGATCTATTCTATCTTCTGTCCTGTACTGCAGTCAGTCTTTGCTGGTGCATACTAGCACATTATGGCTAAAAGCTCCAGGGGACTTTCTTTTTTTTTTCTTAACATGCCTTTACTTCCACTTTAATGTGTCAAGCTTGTTTGTTTCCTTGTTATTCTTTCCTTATTTGCTTTTTTACTTCTACCTTTTTATTCTGGACTAATTGAGTCAATGTTCTATTTCAGAATCTCCAAGAGAAGAAAGTTATTCCCTGTCCTTCCTTTTATGATTCGGATAATCCAGTTAAAGGTATAGAGGGTTCTGCTCTGTTATTGGTGTTATGAACATTCCTTTATAGTAGAATAGAAATGTGAAGCATTAAGAGATTAGTAACTATGGGACAGTCCATTGATGCTCAATGCTTACACAAGGAGCAACATTGTTTGTCAAGGAAAACTTTTTTCTGCAAATTAAATAAGAACCCCAGAAAATGTCATTCTCCTGGAGACTATACATTGAAGAACATTTTGTTAAACATTAACATACTTTCATAACATTATTTTTAGCAAATTGATCTAAAAGTAATGGAAAAAACTCATATTTCCTTTAACATTATTTCCTTTTATTTTGCGTCATTTTGTTGCATTGCGATTCATAAGCTCCTTTTTGAAGGAGCTTGCAATCCAGAATGCATTCTGTAGTCATTAAAGCTGAACTCCAGGCAAAACAAATATTTTCTGAATATAACTCCTGAATCTTGTTGTCCTTTGTGTATTTCTTCCCGATCTGTGCAGTAATCTAGTGGGAAACAACACCTGCACTTTGCCTCTGTGCAGGAGTTCCCTGTAATGAAGACCAGCCACCTCTGCTTTCGCTCGTTGTATGGGGTGACTGGTCTTGTATCTGCCCTCCCCTGTTCCCTGACTTTTCTGCTGACAGCTTGTAGAGGGAGGACCTGCTGGGCCCATTCAACCATCAGCTCTGGAATATATTTCAATGAAAATATTTGTACTCGTCCAAATTAAAAACACGTTTATGCAGTTAAGGACCTGTTTGGGAGCGAGCCAGTTAATCCACCAGGTTGTTTTTGGTTTGTGTGAGAAAATGTAAATTGGAGGAGATCTTAAATACTCCATGCAGGTACTGCATCCTTGTCAGACAAGTTAAAGGATAGAGACCACACTACAAGTGATCCAGGTGTACTTTAATGCTAGAATTAGATGCACCGAAATTTCATCCGCTGAAACAGCTGTCACAGGAAGCTGAGCCAGCAGTGCAGGGGAGGAGTCGGCTGTCAAATTAGACCGAACTCTCCTCCACGCACCGCCCGCTTAGCCTCCTCTGACTGCGAGTCAGGATGGAGATAGGGTACAAGCAAGTCAGCGATCAGCTGATTGTTGACTGCTTGTAACTAATTGAGGACATAGTATATTTACTGTGTCGCCAATTATGAATAAGGAATTGCTCTACATCACTTCCTGTTCATTTATGGTTGTGGAAATGGTAAACATACTATCTCCACAACTTATGAATGAACAGGGACACTCCGTATAGAGGATTCCTGTTCATTCATAAAAGGGGCTGCAGAATAAGCAACGAAAAAAACAATACCGGTGCCTCTGGTTGCAAGATGGGCTGGTTGTGAAGTTGGCTTAAACACTCAAAAGGCAGCTCTCACTGATCAAAAAGACCATCGATCTAGGAAACAAGGGACAAGACAGAGCGCCTCCATAGTGTAAAAGTGTAATTTATTTGTACAACACGCAAATAAAAATGTACTTACAGGAAAGTCGGTGGTTAAAAGCATACAAATGGTGATGAAGTATAAAATCTCTAGCAGCGGAAGTCTGAAGGAGTACAGCACATCAGCATCCTCTGCCCCCTTGAGTTCTAAAGGTCTACGCGTTTCAGGGGCATGCCCCCTTCATCAGAACCTTGAATAAGGATTGAATTCTCTTTTTCTATTTTAAAAGAGAAATATCATGGACTGTTTAGACCCGTGATATTTCTCCAAAGCCCCCAGCAGTAAAGTTAAAAAATAAAAATATTTATTAAAAAAATAAAATATTTAAAAAAAACGAATACATTTTGGCTTCGGCCTGACGATTTTTTTTATTTTCGGTTCCAAATTTCAGTATGAATCCAAGGGTCTGGGGTTCTCCCAGAAAAACATTTCAGCTGTTCTTCTCTTTACCTCTCCCAGCACGGCTGTTGACAAACCTTTTATAAAAGCGTACACTAACTTGATTATATATAATTTATATACTTGTAAATCCATAAATGTAGTGTATTGTTCATTCACTCTAGGTCTTTGTCTTTATGTTCAATACTCACTTTGTGTTTTAGTACTGGATGTCCTTTGGATCAGCACATACGTCTTTTCAGTGGTGTATGCAGCCGCCGATGGCTCTGTGGAAACATCGCCTCAGCTTGTGATGGTTTTGCTTCCGGTATGTCACTTTAAGTTTTATCTGTTTAAACCGAATTAACAGCGCTAGTAGGTGAATCAAATAACCATATATCCGTGTTTGTGGACTATAAGTCATAAAAAGACACATGAATGCAAGTACCGTTAATCAATGAAAAACACGGCACTGTACTAGTAAATGAACATGTGTACGGTTAGGAGCTGACTTTTAACCAAGTGTTTCTAGGTGTCTCCAGTGTGTAAAAATAAAGTAAAAATAAAGTGAATAAATCTACACAAATTGAAAAAGTCCTTCACTATTGTGCATTATGCTACTGTACTGTAAGTTCGAATACCAAAACATTAATGCAGAGAGTATGCTATTCTACTTGAGTTATCGTGCCTGACATGCAGGGTAAACCTAAATGGTATTAGATAGATAGATATATATATATATATATATCTATCTATCTATTAAAAATTAGTAGTGGCATCAACCCCTTTTATATAGGTAAAAACAGACCAGAGACCTAGAAAACTAATCCACTCAGAAGTCGTACTGCGACTGCAGACCGTAAGACATCGGCTACACTAATCTGTCTGGACCTGTTGCAATATGGTTTATAGGTATTAAAAGGGCATATATGTAGTTCTTATCCTTTCTTTTCATCAATTGGTAACTATTTGCACAGAGATATATGCAGCTTTTTACTGTATATGGCCATTTTCTAGGTGAGTCAGCCAGGGATAGTTTTAGGTGGCTAGCTAGCAGGGGTGGCTTATATGAGGAGGAACATGTAGGCCCAGATCAGAAAAGGGGGCAGCCGAGCCGAGAGACATCCATGTGAAGAAACTCAAGAGCAACAGAAACAAAATGGGGCAACATAAGGGAGCACATGGGAGACGGGATGAGAATGATGGAGACATAATCGTTATATTTTCAGCCAGCCTAGAGTGTGCACACTATAATAATCAAAACTTGTGAAAAAAGTGTTTTCTTCTAGTTTTTTTCCTCATTTTTTTTATTTTATTCAAACTAAGTGAGGGGCTAGGTACACATATGTGATATAATTATATAGCCCTATCTGTCCTGTAAAAAACTATATATAATATGTGTGGGTACATTTAGTAAGAAAGTATATTACTGCTGTGGAAGAATCACACAGCAAAAATGTACAAAATGTGTCAGTCATTTATGAACAGAACTAGCTCAGTCATGAAGGGGTTAAGAATAAGAGAGGTGTGCTGTTGCTAGTGCAAAGCTGCCTTTGACTTCAATAGTTACTAGAACAAGCAGGCAACCATTGAAGTCAGAACCCCTAATCCTTATATCTGTTCTGGGTTATTGAAAACAAAAATACCAAAGCCATTGGATTAGCCAAGCAGCCGTCTTTACTGAGAATAATGTTAAAGATGGCAGCCACTGTACAAATTTTCTTTAAAGTTGTACTTTTGTTTTTGACGAACAAGTGTCAATATTTATTGCAGAAAAGGGAAGACAAGCGAGGGGAACGTTTCCTGAATTTTACAGAGATCTGTTATTGCAGCATCAGCAATGAGAGGCAGCATCATTTCTTTATGAATTACATTGAGGACTGGTGAGTTTCACTTGCAGACTCCAATTTTTCTTTCTGAACAATCTGTTGGTTGTTATTTTAGCATTGGTGGAACCTTATAATCAGCTTGGTTTTCACATTCAAGTTGAGTAGGGTATAACTTTTGAACAACAGCGATGCTTGTAATTTGTCTGGAACAGTTTTATGACATTAGTATAAATTACTTTATGGTTTAGACTGTATCTGTACTTTTAACCAGCAGTTCAGCCACAGGGACATCAAATGATAATTTCTATGGCTCCACTGCTTTCTGGAAACAAGAAGTAAATGGAAGCAATGATATATAAATAATTAATTTTTTTAAGAAGGTAATGTTCATTGGCAGATCTGATGGGAAGGACAGAAATGTATAATACATTTTATTTGCCTTAAGTCTGAATTCAATGCTGTCCATTAAAGTTGAATTGTAGATCGTCTTCTGGGTTGATGGGCCAGCTGTAACACTGGAAACATGTAGTTCTGAAAAGTGGACATTTTTAGCAATATTTTATTACGTGTTATGTCTAATACATCTGATATGTTTCTCCATCCATTTGTCGATAAAGTCCTACACGGTTTATGTATTCATTGGCACACACATGACTTATTCGTGAAGATGGAACCTGGTAACATGTTTTATTCACTTAGGGAGGTCCTTCTTGGAGCTTCTGCAGCATCCATTGAAGTCAGTGTAATTGCCAAGCTACCTGATCAGGTATTTCCTTTTTCTTTTTTTCTTTGATACATTTTTATTGAAATATATATTTTCAGGACAATATGTGAATAACAAGGTGGGATACTTAAATATCAGATTGCAGAATAAAGACTGAATATTTCTTGACCATACCATACAGGACACATGTTTTGCTGGGTTTTTTTTTTTTCTTACCTTTTTTCCTCAGTGGTTCTTCAATAAAGCTTTCCATTCCATTGCTGTGTTCAAGCATAATCGCTGTCTCACAGCTTCCGCATCGTTTTTTTCTTTTTTGTGCCTGTTCCCATGGCAAAAGCTTCAGGAACTGTACCCAGACCCTGCTAGATTGATGGAAGACGTGGGGACGGCACTGGACTTTGCATTAGGCACCCATCTTGACACACAGTGCAGTGTGTTAGGTTTGCCTGTGCAGTGGCCATGCTGAGATCTGCGGCCATTTTTATATATGTATTTGTGGCGCTGTCTTTTTGGCCTACCCTCATATTTTTCTACTGCCGGAAGCTTCAGGACCATATTTAGCATTTCTATAAAGATCGCTGGTCCTTTCATCAGGCTTGTATTAGTGTTGGACCTCATGGTGCCCTCATTTGCAACATGGATACTATGGAAATAGGACAAGTCTCCAATTTCCCTGGGCAGGGAAGTTTGTCTTACTATTCAGATGAATCTCTCAATTGGTGTTTTTCAAAGCTGACCACTGGAAAGCAGTTTCTGCCGCTGGAAAGTTGTAAAAATGAATGTGAAACAATAAGGCTGTGGCACAGTTATGAATTCTCTGTCTGCTAACAATAAATGTATTGGAACTGTGTGCCATTAGATTAACTCTGCTTCATTGAACAGATAATTTAAAAGGTCATCTAGTAAGAGATCTGGTTGATCCTTTTTTTTTTTTTTATCTACTAGATAGTAAGCCATTTTAATAAGGCATTAGTCAATGCAATGATTACTATATACTAGGGCTGCGGACATAACGATTCATTTCTCGATTAATCGTTAAACTTTTTGATCGCTTAAAATTCTTCTGATCGCTAATGAAAACACTCACCTCTCCCCCTGGCTTCTGGGAGTCCTGTCGGAGATCAGGTTACGTCACGGACATCGATGTCACCGGACTCCTTCCCCAAGTGGCTCCGTCTGCTAACGAAGGGAAGGGGGGGGAGTCCGGCGACGTCGATGTCCGTGACGTCACCGGACTTCTCCCCCCTTCCCTTCGTTAGCCGACGGAGCCACTTGGGCCGGTGAGTTTGCCCGGCTTTCCACTTGCATTTCCCACTATACCCAACAGCCATTTCATTCCATTGCCCATACAGGTATATACTCCCTGCTGCTCACAAGTTTGAGTAACATACATTTTAAATTTTGTTTACTGAAACTAGTTATGGTAATTGTATGCTTGTCCATAATCCTTCGTGCTGCGTACAGAGATATAACATTTTGATTATATTTAACTCCCCTCGCTCTTGTTATATTTCTCTGTAAAACATCAGCTCTGTACAATGAAAATTTGAGGGGGGCTTCAGCACAATGCTGCTAACACAAACAAAACCACAGATTGTTTATTTTGCATTCCTATTACACATTGAAATGCAGATTGTTTTGTTAAAGAGCATCCCTGAGTCCATGTAAGATTTTCATATCTTTAAGCCCTGATGGGGGGTGGCCCCTGAAACGCACTGGCTGGTACTAAAGTATTACTACTGAGTTTTATTATAATGCTATTATATAAT